AGAGTGTCTGCCGACTCTTGTTAGTTGTCACATGGCGATATGGCAACATAAGTCTACTTTATCGCCATCTGGCGTCTACAATGCTCGTTTATAAACATTTCACGGACCTCGCCAGGACATAAAGACCAAACTTCCGGGCAGGCACACCCACAGATGCTAAGCAACAACCACGAACAAGTTTCGCTCCAAATCAGACATGGGAAACTCCGAAGAGGTCAGGTTTCGTTGTGACGTCGGTGACATCGCAACACTACTGTCACCCAAACACTGAGAATAGCTTATCGGGGTGCCAGAGGATTAGCTCACGCGAAATCTGATCAGGCTTAATCGTAAAGCACGTGGCTGATGGACATGGGGCATCATCAGGTGCGGCAGCCGCTTCTGCCACATCGTCGCGTGGAGACACGTTTTCACTAGCCTCAGTCCGGAGAACGAACGCTCTGCTGCCGGCACAGATCGGCCATTATGAGGCGACTCAGATGCACCACTTCACCCAGCATCTACCCGACGACTTGTCCCTTTGACTCGGGCACCAAAAACGGATCGGCCACACTCTTGATGTGTGACGTCATGAGACCGGCTCTGCGAAGCACGTTGAGCTGCGCAGAGAGCAGCTCTGGGTCGGTCGACATCGGGTGCCCCAGGGCTCCGTTCCACGGCCAGCAGCTGCGGAGGAGCCCAGGCTGATTGAAGCGAGGCTGCAGCTCGGCGGTTATCAGGTCCATCGCCCCGTAGTACTGGCGACGGAGAGAGGTCCGGCCGTCCAAGTCCATGTCACCCACAGGATCTGGGCATTGCCCCAGACGTTTCGGTGGCCTGGTCAGTGCCGGGCTGTTGGAGGGTCACATGAGCTTTTATTTCTGTGACCGTCTCTTGGAATCTGTTGAAGAGGTCTAAGAAGGTTTTCTCCTCCTGCATGCCTTACGTGATCTTGATGAGTGTCTGCGCACCGAGGAGCACTTCATCAGCAATCATGGAATGCCCCTGCAGCTGCCTGGCGAAGAGCTTACATGGTGAGAAAAGCTAGATGCACATGGACAATGCAAACACGATGTCAAACCGCCGTAAGTGAGCCAGGACCCCACTCATCTGGGTTCGTGCATCTGGGTGTACTCCTCCGTCCCTTGACAGATCCTCGAGTGTCCCAACGACAGCATCAAAGTTGTCCCAGAAGCGCTAGAATGCTTCGCACCTCACAGCCCACGGCGTCGATTGTTAGTCAGAGGGCCCTTTGCATTGATCGGGGTCGCTGAGACAATGAAGGAACGCTGTGTTGGTCAGGGAGCCACGGTACGCCGAACAAGGAACCCGAGTCGTCATATATCGACAAGGGTTCCGAGGGCCCTTAGCGACGAAGGCCATGGGGGCGTATGTCGACATAGGCTCCGAGGGCCTGTGTCGACAAAGGCCCCGAGTCGACCATGGTTTCGTTTTCTGAATAGGGACAGGAACGTGACCCCGAAAGTCAGTTAGCCTCCTGAGTTGACCGGGCCCGCTGATAATGAAAGGAGAAGGGACAAGTAACAATGAACGGGTCTTTGATGAGACAGTGAAAGGGCCCCGTGTCAGTCACGGCCCCAGTAACGAACGTGGCCCCGGACCTCCAGCCCATTCCGGTCAGGGGCCCGATAAACCGTAATGGAGTCATCTGCCAATTATGGGACCACCCGTGTCGGTAAGCGGTCCTTTGGCGTCAATGCAGTCCCCTGCGTCGATCCGGGACCAGCTGCTCCGGTCTGAAGGCCATCCGCGCCAGAGAGAGGACCGATTCATGATGCACGCCTCTGTGACCCTCCTGGTCGACCTAGGGACCTGACCTAGACCACCGTGTCTCCAAAATAGGAGCCGGCAAGTACCCCGGGTGGTGGGACTGGAACGGAAATCCCCTTCAACACCTAACCGTGAAACGTAATGGGGCCCGGGTGTTCTAATTACGGAGCTCCCTATCCGCGAAAGGTAAGGAATCTCCTTAGTGTTCAATCCACTGGGCCCATCACCGAACGTACTCGTCGGCGTAATGACAATTGAAGAAAACTGGGGCTCTCGAAAAATGGGCCAAATCTAATACTTTTCTAATATAATCTAATCTAATCTAAACCTAATATAATAATGCTAACTTTTCCAATGCCTTTTCACCCTTATCAAGCTGCGTGCCAACCCCATCCCTTCTCACCAAAGCTTTGGCCTCTCAACCCGCAAAAGATGGAGCTTGTGGGATCTCAGATAGGCTTTTCTCCGGCTCGAGTGTTTAGACGGACCGTTTCGGGACCTGAAATGCCCACTTTCTCAGCCCTAAACATGCCATTTAATAATTTGAAGAGGGCCCTACCTGAGTCTACAATAGATCAAAGACTTTTGAGTCTACACTGAGCCCTTTTAAGATCGGAAAAAGGCCCATCCCCTGTCTTAAACTGTTATAGAGGTTTCATGCCTTGAAATCAACCCTTCCCAGACTTGAGATGGGCTTTCTACGCTTACTTGGAAGGCACATGAACGAATCTCTTCCACAAATACGCCGGGGGCCCACTTGGGCCACCTGAAATCCAGAGGAAAAGATGGTTTTAGCCTTAGCCTCATACATAGAGGACAATTCACCTCGCGGATACACCACCACAGGCTTTCTGAGCTTACGATGGGCCCATTGCAGACCAGAGATAGGTCCTTCCCAGGTTCAAAAAGTGAGTGGGCCTTTCCCAGCTTGAAGTTCTCTGCTTTTTTCTAAGCCTTTACTGGGTGCCCTACTTGACTTCAGACGAGCCATTTCTGAGTTTATGATGGAACCCTTTCCAGACATGAGAGGACCGTCTCTGAGCCTACGATGGACGCTTACGATGAGCTCTTTCTAGACCAGAAAGGGGCCCTACTGTGCCTGGAGATGACATGAGTGTTTTCCTGTATTGAAATGGGCCATCTTCAGCCTTAGATATACCTTTCGCGAACATGAAACGATTCCCTTCTGGGCTTAAGATGGGCCCTTTCCGGATCACACATGGGCCAGTCTACGCTTGCTTTGGTAACGCAATAAGCGAAAACTACCACAATCATGAGGTCCCGTTTGGGCCACCTGAAATTATGGGTGGGGGGGGGGGGGAGCAAAAAGATACTTTTGCTCCTGACTCAAAGAATGGGAGCGACAGTTTTCCCTCATGCCCTCCCCGTCGCCCTTCGATGCGCCGTCACTGTCTATAATGGCAGCAAAAAAGGTTTATCTAAAGCTATTGAAATGGAAAAACACTCTAGCTGCAGCGGAAACTTGAAGAGCGCATCTTACCGCCTACTACATCTTACTTACATCTTACTTACCGCTTACTAACACACATTTTATGTTAATGAGCGGATCGTGCGCTAATTACCTCGGAAGAAATCAAACAATGCTTTGGAAAAGTGAATCGCAGTGACGATCCTGCACATTACCTATGACCCTTGCTTTCAGAAATGTCAGAAAAGCACGTCTCTAGCCCGTGAAGAAAAGTTTGCAACGGGTGCGATCAGGGCTCAAGAAACGCATTCCTTTTTCAGCGGAGCTCACTTTTTTGGCAAAACAGGCTTCAAAACAAAACAAACAGATGAACCCCGCGAAACCTGCTGGCTTCGCGGGGTGCATTCGAAGTCACTGCAGAGTGTAATTATAAAGTCGTGCAGTAGTAGTCTTCTACCATTCTGACGTCCGACGCCACTCGTGCACTTAACACTTGCATTTACATCAAGCCTACAAAGACCGGACAAACCGTTTCACGTTTTATGGATAAGACAGCAGAATTAGCCTTATTTCTCGTAAAAAAGCCAGGGGAATGGAGACAGAAATGCGTTCATATGTCGGCAACATGCGTTTGCCGAAGCCAATAGCAGTAGTGAAATGGATATGCTACCGCCATTCTTTTCAATAAATGCATGTGGCCGAAGCCTCAACCCATCTAAACTTCCAATCCCCTGGTTTTTCTACGAGGAAAAAGGCATTACTAGTGTTGTATCTACATATAGATTGTCCCTCGCGAATGCAGCTAACAACATACGCCTCACGTTTTATATGCTCCTGATGCACGCTGCCCGACGCGAGATCCGTGGTGACCCGACTCTCTCTCTCTCTCTCTCTCTCTCTCTCTCTCTCTCTCTCTCTCTCTCTCTCTCTCTCTCTCTCTCTCTCTCTCTCTCTCTCTCTCTCTCTCTCTCTCTCTTCTCTCTCTCTCTCTCTCTCTCTCTCTCTCTCTCTCTCTCTCTCTCTCTCTCTCTCTCTCTCTCTCTCTCTCTCTCTCTCTCTCTCTCTCTCTCTCTCTCTCTCTCTCTCTCTCTCTCTCTCTCTCTCTCTCTCTCCCCCCTCTCTCTCTCTCTCTTTCTCTCTCTCACCACCCGTGACCTTGACCTCACTTGAATCTCAGGGAAGCATCTTGGTCCCTTTCGCATCGATTCCAGCGAAGTTTGTGGCATGGAAATGTATTTCATCCTAAATTTGGCGATGCCCCAGAAGTACTAAAATTGGAAAACCTCGTAGTGACAGATCAGTAGATAGTCATATAACACAGTGTAGTGTACTACAATCCAAGAGCAAAACGAAACAAACGTGAGACCAAAAATGAAACAAACGCATACGAAAGGCGAAAAACGTATGACCAATATAAACAAGCGTAAGACCAAAAACAAAACAAACGCTTCACCCGGGATATTTCATCAGTTTCAAAACTTATCAACACGAAAGGCGCTTTCCATCAAGCAAAATTCCTAAGCACGTTAGCCCGTCCGGACCAGCCGGGCCCAGGTGTCGGCCTTGTGACCTGGGCTCAGCCACGGCGCCAGCGTTGACGCCGGGCCCAGGTGTCGACCTATCCTTGTGACCTGGGCTCAGCCACGGCGCCAGCGTTGACGCCGGGCCCAGGTGTCGACCTATCCTTGTGACCTGGGCTCAGCCACGGCGCCAGCGTTGACGCCGGGCCCAGGTGTCGACCTATCCTTGTGACCTGGGCTCAGCCACGGCGCCAGCGTTGACGCCGGGCCCAGGTGTCGGCCTATCCTTGTGACCTGGGCTCAGCCACGGCGCCAGCGTTGACGCCACCGCCGGGCCGGTTCGTTTGACCTGACCGTGAGTCAGGCTGGCCGAGGGGACAGGAGCGGGCGGGAACGCGGAATGAGCATCTGGCAAGCTGTACGCAGATACGTGCGCTCGACAGGACACAGACTCGAAACGTGCGATCGCTCACTCTGCTACCCAATCTGATTCACACAGCAGCATTTTATTGAAAAACAGCGTGTCATTAAATAAAATCGGTCAGTGTTTTTCAATCGAGGTTGTTGGCATCAGTGACCTCCATAGCCTCCGTGACCGTAGCTTGACTTATGTACGTAATAGGGCACCTTGACTGGGATTTTCTCGACATGGTGAAGGTGTTTCACCACTGGCACTTGCTTGACTACAGGCACGTGTTTCACCACGGGCACGTGCTTCACCTCCGGCACATATTTGATAACGGGCACGTGTCGGACCACCGGGTAGGGTTCCGGAACATGCTTCACCAAGGTCTTGTAGACGTGCCTGACGACGGGAACTTCCTTCACTACTGGATACGGTACTTCCTTCTCCACCGCATACGGCACGTGCTTCACAATTGTTTTGACTTTCTGGTACCTGAAATTCGGAAACGCAGCGTCGCTCAGATATGCCATTAGACGGCCCGTACGCGAAAACACTGACCACGGTGGTATTTAGCTGACATCGCGTGCCGTCAAGAACGAACATCGTTGCTCGTCTGCAGAGTTTTTCAAGCTCAGAAGCCTTTTGCTGCGGTTGGTGTCATCTCAACAATCACTGTCGCTCTCTACAGAAACGGTTCCTTAGCTCAGTACGTCAAGATTTGTAGTTAGATTTTCCGCGATACTCGCCCCACCTGTCAGGGTTAAAGGCATGCGAAGCCATATAGCCTCAGCAGCTGAGTACGTCGTAAAGCTCCAATAACAATAACAATATGTGAAGTGAAATAGCCTTGGCTTATCGGTATGATAGTTTTCCTTTCGCCAGACGTCCGTAATGATCACTGTGACAAGATCGCTAGTTTTGGATTCAGCACGAGGAAAGCTTATTTTCTATAGTCGCAGCGCTCATCGCGATAAATCCTCTCAAAGTTGACAGCATTAGAGGTCATTTTGTTCCAATGATGTCAGCTGAACACAATATTACTGAGGTATTTCAGTAGTATACTGAAGCATTTTCTATGGTATGTACATGTTGGGATTACAATGATGGTTTTCAGGACACGCGTTTTCGAATCGCATTAACAAAAATTTGGTAGCTTCTGTATGCTTATGTCCATAAAGGACGGGGTGTTATTATCATCGGAGCTACTGAAATTTTATCTAGTTTATATTACTAAGAGTTTGACGAAATTTGGCTTGTGACGAACAGGTGACGACAGGTATAACTGCGACACAAACAACCGATGACTATAAGTCAAGTCCTCATGAAACTTCAAAAGGCAAATGCGCTCACCGATTAATGCTTACACCGTTGCACAAGTAAGATTGGTTCGTTGGTGGATCAAGATTTGCAAATTTTGTGCTTTCTATGTTAGCAAATTGGGGCGCCATATCGCAGAAAGCCATACCAGATCTAAGAGTGGGCATGCAAAAGTGCTGAGAGTTACACATTACAGTTAAGGAAGAAACTCTGTGACTTGCTCCTCAAAATCACAGGTTCGTATAAACAGTGGCTGCAATAAATGTTCTTGTAAGAAGTGTCACTGATGGGCAGTGTCCAGTAAGAACTGCGGCGACTAAGCCGTGTCCAGTGAGAACCGAAACGGTCAAGACATGTCCATTAACAACTGTCAGCAGTCAAGTTGTGTCCAGTAAGATGTGTGACGGTCAAGCCGTGTCTAGTAAGAACTGTAACGGTCAAACCGCGTCCAGTAGGAACTGTGACGGTCAAGCCGTGCCCAGCGAGAGCTGTGACGGTCGAGCTGGGTCCGGTAAGAGGTGTGACGGTCGGCTTGGGTCCGGTAACAGGTGTGACGGTCGGGCCGGGCCCGTTGAGAATGTAACGGTCGGGCCAAGTCCGGTAAAAAGTGTGACGGTCAGGCTGGGCCCGGTAAGAAGTGTGATGGTCGGGCTGGGCCCGGTAAGAAGTGCGACGGTCGGGCCGGGCCCGGTAAGAAGTGTGATGGTCGGGCTGGGCCCGGTAAGAAGTGTGACGGTCGGGCCGGGCCCGGTAAGAAGTGTGATGGTCGGGCTGGGCCCGGTAAGAAGTGTGATGGTCGGGCTGGGTCCGTTACGAGGTGTGACGCCTCATCAACAGAAAAATACGTTATTAATATATACTTAACAAGCTTTGTTCATGGGTGTGCGTCATGAACTTGTTTGATACGTTTGGAAAACCCCTAGGAAAACAGATGTGGGAGTTCTAGGCCTGCTCAGTCTGGAGGGCGGACGATTATCCAGCGCGTATCGGTCAGCGGAGCTGTGACGGCTACTCACCCGTACTCGTGTGTCTCGTAGCTGCCGCGGTGGCCGTATCCACCACCGCCGTCTCCAGCGTCGGCACCGGCAGTGACGGCCGCAACCGCGAGCAAGGCCTGTAGGCAGGGAGACCATGCGAATATGATGTCAAGCCAAACAGCGGCTTCACGGCAGCGGACTCATCTCAGAAGAAAACCGAAGACCCAGTGTTAAATCCCCCAGCAAGTAACAAACAGTGCTGAATGGGCAATTATTGGTGGTGTAGCGGACCCTGTATCTGTCCCTGCCCAGTATCTACATTGCAAAAACAAGAGGTACCGAGACCCGTTCAGGTAGCTATCCAGTTGTGCACCCCGAGAGCACTGGTACGCTATGTCTTACAAGTAGCTTCATATTCGGGTAGCGGCAAGCGTTTGTTTACTACTGATCGTGGTCGAGCTTCTTATATACGTGAGCGCTTTCCCGGGCTGCTGATCACCTCGACAAAGACAAGGTCAGAGACGGGCATTCGCTGCATTCACAGGCGTGCAACACAGCTGCAAAGCATTTTCATGACGGGGTCGCCGCAGGCTTCAGCGAGTTTGATGTCATGGTCATAGGGGCATTGTCTTCGCTTTTCGACTGTTCTAATGCGCCGTTTTAGTGAGATATCATATCACCCCGCCTGGGCAGTTGTCTGTTATCTGACAAAACGTTCTGCAACTGCAGTTGCGGACTGGTTTACCAGGCGTATGACACGGCTCCCAGCGCCCAGTCCACAACCTGACAGAGCAACGTCAGACTGACAGCAGCTTTGCCTGAACCTGGCTTTCTTAGCCCGACTGAACAGTCGGCTCATCTCAGCAAAAATGCGCTGAAGCCTTTTTGCTGCCAACTGCCCGTCGTTCGCCCGCAGTGGCGCCAGCCGACAGCCAAGTCAAAAACTAGTCCCCGCGGTTGCCCCGCGGCAGTTTGGCCAGCAATGGAGTCCAAGGTCACCTTTCTGGCATGAAAGCCGTACGTATCAGCGGTGCGTTGTCGACTGGCAGATGATGACGACGACCCGGCAACCAGGCCATGGCTTACCGGTTCAGGTGATGATCTGGCGGTCGGAGGTAGCCCAGAGCCCCTATGACGTAATGAGCACGCCTGATGAGCAGGCGATGGCTGAGCGCACGCCTCAACGGCAGCGCGCTGCTCGCTGGCCGCCAGCAACGTACCGGTGAGTATACGGGTGGTAAAACAAACTGTTGTTTATAAGACGGTCTTCAAATGGTCATGTATACCCGTCGGTTGGTTTATTTCATGAACAAAAGTGAAGGCTTTAGGTCGGCAGCTGCAAGGTCTGTTGGTCACAGAGCGTTTCAGGAAAACCATTTTCACCTTTTTTGGTGCCAAATTTCCCCGTGTAAACAATGCAAAAGAACTAAGAAGTTAACACTGCATTTTGATCTTAACTGGCCTTACCGTTGCGATAGTTTGATGCCAAGAACCATTGGTGTTTGTGTATATGTGAGTGTGCCTGACTATGTGCGTGTTGCCCTTCCCGGCGCTCAGAGGCATTGTGTATTCAACAATAACGAGACAGAAATTTGGTGTCGATGCGTTGATAATGAGGGTTGATAACCTACTCTCCATTTTGTCGTTGATAGCAGCCGTTCCATGTCCAATGTTTATGACTCATTCTGACGGCTTCACTTGTCTTCCACTCGCAGCAGGCTGCAGCTGGGACAGTCCCGTTTCTATTGCCAAGGGAAAGATGTGCACTCGGCTTGACTTAGTGTTCAGCAACGGCAACTGTGAAACTGTGAAACCTCGTCCATCCGTCAGATTTAACTGGAGCTCAACTTCCCACCCAGATGAAAATACTTTTAAACTGATTTGCGCTTCAGTTGTGTTACGAGTTAGAATATAAGCACGGCAGTCCTTGCAGATGTACGCGTCATACCACAGTGCGTAATCGAAGTGAATCTCCGAAGGTGGCGTCACACAGTTTACGTCGCAGTGAACGTCGCATGCCCTCGTACGTATGGCTGTAGGGCTCGCGTTATAACTGCCAGCACACCTTGGAAGAGCGAAACAGCTGAGCGGTACTTCTTGCGAGGTAGTAGATTGAGACCGGGTTAAATATGATGGATGATTGAGGGGTCTCAACTCCGTCTTCGACATGGTGAGCCTCTTCGCCTCTGTTTTAAGAACGAAACTGTTCCTTTGCAGCTGGCCGTAAACAAAAAGTGCACGTTACGGACGTTAACCCAAGAACATTTGCTATCGAGTTCTGCAGCAAGGAAATCGTAAAATTAGGTGCCCATCAGCAACTCAACGCCACTATTTTTTAAAGGGGAATTAACACGACCTCACAATAATTATATGCTTTCTGTTCGTGAAGTAAGTTGCATTTTTGATTTATTCTTGGTCACGGACTGCTCTCACGAACCTTGGTAATTCTTGGTCACGGACCTTGAGTGAAAATTCAAGTATTTGAATTTTTGACTCTGTGAGCAAGATCCGTGACCGAAAATTCATCAAAAATTCAACTTACTTAAAGAATATCACGCATATGATGATTGCCAGTAGGTGATCTAAATTTCTTTTTAATTGAAATTTTTCAATCAAACCAGAGTAAAAAAATTCAAATAGTTAAATTTTTGACTCTGTGAGCGAGGTTCGTGATAAAAAATTATCAAAAGTGCAACTTACTTAACGAATATCACGTATATTCATTTTTGTAAGGAATTCATCCTAACACGCGCTCGGGTAGGGAGGGTCAAACTGACCCCCGCGAAGGTTCTTTCAGAATGGTTTCCGAACGGCGCGGCGTAGCCGCGCCAAATGTTGCGCGGCTGTAGACAATTCAATAGCGGATCGTTTGCCATCAAAAATTTAGATGTACCTTGTAAATTTGCTGATCTATGGCAGGTCAAAGTCAGGCCATTATTTCAACGAAGGCAATATCTAGGAGATTGTTCAATCTGATACAGGAACGGAGTGTTTGACGAAGCCATACATCTCTGAGATGCTTTCTTAGGCACCACACATATTTAATGAGCAAATTTTGTTGACTTAAGGTCAGGTATGAAGGTCATACCAAGGTCAAAACCAACCTGATTTATTAATCTAAGGTTTGCTGTATGGAATAGTTTCTGGTGCTTCTTTCGAATTTATTGACAGCAGGAGCCGCATTTTACATCATTCATTGACTTTTTAGAGATCAGAACAGGTCATTGACCTAAGATGACCCGGGTCGACATTTTGTTTTAGGAACATACTGCCTAGCGTAATATTTGCCGCCTATTCAAATGCAAAACTCAGAGCAGTCTTGTATTATTTTTGTCACCATGACCCTCAAAAGGTCAATCAAGGTCACTGACCTCAAATGGGCTTGTGGCCTTTTGCTTAGAAACAATTGCCTAGGTTCTGGGGGCACTTTGGAGACTAACCTGGAATTTGACCTTGTTCGGCCTTATTTGGCCTGAAGGTCATGACCTGGAAAGCTCAAGCTTTGCCTTAAGTGAGTTCACGTACAGGGCAAGACACCCTATAAATTTGGTATCTCTAGCTTTCTTAGTTCCCGAGATCTGAGGGGAGGGATAAGATTGTCTACCGACCCACCCGAGCGAAGGGTATCTAGCCGGCGACCCGGGTGCGCGTTAATTTCTCTTAACTACTTGTCATGCCTTACATTGCATTGACATTGTACCATCTCAGAACTATTAAATCAAATAGTGACCATCGTTAAGTGCTTGTAAACATTTTGAAGACATCATTAAAGCTGCTATTTTTTGTCCACTGCGTTTTTGGTTTCATCCGTGGCCATTATAGTTTCCTGAGAGACCGATACCATTGGTACACAAAAATACAAATGAGATGACATGACGTGGCCTACAGAAGTTAGCATCTCCAAAATATGCTGAATGAATATTACTGCGTTTGAGCCACAGGCGTGGAGACTGGAAATTGCATAGAATGCTTACCAAAGTGTTTATAATGTTCCACTTCACGTGCGGTGGCTGTTTTTCCTAAAATATTGCATGAAAATCACAGAATAATATCTGAAACCCGTGTTGAGACAGCTGGTCAAAGACAGCAGTCCGAAGCTGTCACTTAACATCAACATCAACCAATGATGGCATCCCATCAGTAACTAAGTGCAACATTTTGTGTTGTATGCCTTATGCGTTTTTGCTACCAATAACGCGTTCAGTGCCTACCATCGTTTTTGGTAGCTCGGCAAATGAAAAGCTGGAGAAGTCCAGCTGAAATAATTAACAACAACAAGCATTCTGCCAGTATGACAAATCTAAAAATGGTTGGCTGAAACGCTTCACTGCTACGATGCTATGAATGGTTCATACTTATGTCAAATAACAACCTATCATATAAATGTTATCCTTATGAAGACCTACGTTTACTGTCTTTGACCACCTGTTCCAACGTGGGGCGCAGATGTTCGCTACTTATATAATATTTTGGGAAAATTTGTCGTGGCATATTGAGTAGAACATTGTGTACATCTTGGTAAATATCCTACACAATTTCCAGTCCCCGCACCAGTGGCTCAAGTCTGCTGAGAACCATTCAGGACGATTTTTGGTCCGAGCCATACACCATGCTGTGCTGGGAAATCAAAATGGGCAGGATAGCAAAATGAGGACGCTTACTCAATTGAGCAAACCGAATTTAGGTGTACGGTGATGGTGAGAGCACAGCAAGCACGATCATGTGTTTAATCCTACACTTGTGTTGCAGAATGTTTGCTATTCTTGATAATTTCAGCTTAACAGCAACGCCTCCAATTTTCAACATCCAGAGTTCAACACAAACTCTGGGTGGCAGCATCATTGAACATATTATTGGCATAACGCATGTAAAACAAAACAATGTGTTCATTTACTGCTTGCGGACCACCAATGGTTGATGTCACTGTTGAATGCCAACCTTTAACGACTGTCTGTGACCAGCTGTTTCGACGTGGGATTGTTTTCTTGTGCAGTATTTTGGGAAACCAGCGGTCGCAGATTGAGTATAACATTGCGCATATCTTGGTAAACATTTACCCTACTTCCAATCTACACGCATGTGGCTCAGTTACATCACTAATCGTCCAGCACAATTTCTGGTGCGGGGAGCCATGCTG